TATATATATATATAATACATATCCAATGTCTTAAATACAACCTATTAAGCTTGATGTACCATAATATAAAGCCTAATATCTTAAAACTAAGAGGTGCAAATTTCACAGCAGTTAGTACAAATAGTTTATGCATAATTGGACTCACACGGATGCTTACATGGAAATATCACACGGATCCTCACATGGATTGCCAGCGTGTTTAACTTTCGGCCATTGATTTGGTTCTAGATCAGATGAATGATAACATAGAAACACACTCCACGACACAAACCCTAATCACTACACCCTTCCTCTCTCTCTTGACATCTTTCCGTCTACGACCCCTTCGGCTACATCACATCACATGCTTCATGAGTCAAGACCACGTGTGCGGTTACCACCATACCTCATCAATCATCATAATCAACCACTGTCACTACATCCACCGCCTCCGCCTGATCTCGATCTTCAACCTTCACTTTAGTCACCTTTATCGGCAACCTCCGCCTACACCTTTCACCACTGACACCACCACAAAAACTCTAACAAAGCTGTTACCATCGTTTTCTGACACCGCTTACCCTCTCCTTCTCTGTTTCTTGCTAAAAACATCCTCCCCACCGCCACAGGTAAGTTTATTCTCTGTATCTCTATAAAATTCACCACCATAACCACCACTAACCTTTTCCATCTCTCTAGCTTTGTGTGTCTTCGTATGTGTCTAACTGTGTGCGTTTGTTTTTAGGACCTGAATAGATAAGTGATTTCCCTATAACTGGTTTTCATCCTGGTTTGGTTCTATTTCAGATTTCTACCCGTATTTGCTTGATTTGTACATGGATGATGAGTTAATTTGAAACCTCTTGGGACTAAGTTGACATTGTTTTTTGTTTATTGTTCAGGATATTAGGTGCGATTTGGGAAAATGGAGTAATAAGAAGACTTCACAGGTTTCTCTATACTCTAATATATGGGCTATTTTCTCAAAAAATGTAGATCTATGCATTAAGATATGTATTGACTGGTAAATACTTGCTTACTTTCAGATTTATGTATGACTTGTGTGTGTGTGTGTGTGTATATATATATATATATATATATATATATATATATATATATATATATATATATATATATATATATATATATATATATATATATAAATGAACTTTTATATATTATGTTGCTACTCATTTGATGAAGTTGGTAATGTTTTCACATTGTGGGATGCTTGATTGAATATTTTGTTGAAAAGATATATAAATTTGTATGGTAAGTTATATAATTTTTTGTTTCGTATCTGATAATAATGTATATGACGTCCTAACCATTCTTTCATGTTTGTCTTATTTATAGGAAAAATAACTAATTTGGCTGATGTTACAATACCCTGCATAAAGATAAAACAGTCAAAGAATTGGGTTGAGTAAATATACACTCAAATGATATATTATTTTAAGGGTTAATTTAGTCATTATTTGGTTTGCTGGTTATTTTCCACATTGTGTTTGGTGCCTTTTCTACTCCAATCCCTCAGCATCAAGGTTATTGCCCCACCACCCTCAAACATTGGTCGTCGAAGAATACATGAAATGTATCTCACTAGAAAGGAAACTTCATTATGTTGGTTTAATTGTGTGTTTATTTCTTGAAATTTCATTTTCAGGTTTAATGATTTTCCTCGAGGTTTCACATTCATATTTGTATACATTTATAGTGGCTTACTGTTAATGGTTTGTAAATTTATTGCTTTTTAGTCAAATGCTTTCTATTTTTTTTATAAATATTTTTAGACATGTGTTATTTATTGTTTGTATTTAACTATTTATATTGATGTTTAGTAGAAGGTTTCAAATAATTGTTGTATGTGCGTCGATGTTGATTAAAATAAATTGGGATATCTTCAAAAAAGTCCCGATATTTTGGTTAAATTTTTAATAAAGTCTTAAATTTTATTTTTTGAATAAAAAAGTCATGACTTTTTCACATTTTGAATAGAAAAGTTCAAGAAACCGGTTAATTTATTCACTTTAGTTCTTTCTGACCTGTTCAGCAGATCATGAGATCAAATTGTTAATTTTTCGAAAATAAATGGATTTTTTTGCAGATTTTGTCAAAATTTTTATATAATATATAAACATATTTTTTATATATCTATATCTATTTTTACGTATTTTTGTATTTTTTATATTTTTATAAGTATATATTTACATATTTTTATGTATTTTAAATGTATAAACATATTTTTTTTTTACTTATTTATATGTAATTCTAACCATTTTACATATATTTTTTTTATGTATTTTTATGTGTTATTTTTTATATATTATGTATTTATATGTATTTTTATATATTTTTACATATTTATGTATTTTTTAAAGCTTTTTATATAGATGTTTATGTATTTTAAGTGTATAAACGTATTTTTATGTATTTATATCTATTTTTAAGTATTTTACATATCTTTTATGTATTATGCATTTATATATTTTTTAAAAGTTTTTTATCTAGATGTTTTTGTATATTTATGTATTTTAAATGTATAAACGTATTGTTTTACGTATTTATATGTATTTTTTAAGTAGTTTACATATATTTTTTTGTGTGTTTTTATGTGTTTTTTTATGTATTATGTATTTGTATATAATTTTGCGTATTTATGTATTTTTTTAGTTTTCTTATATAGATGTTTATGTATTTTTATGTACATTAAATGTTAGAGTAAATTACATGAATAGTCCCTATGGTTTGGGCTAATTTACGCATTTGATCCCTAGCTTATTTTTTTTAACTCGGAAGGTCCCTAATCTTTGTTTTTGTCTCGGTCCCTAATTTTTATTTTTGTTTCACTCTTGATCCCTATCTTATCTAAAAAAAACTATTATTTAAATAGGGAAAAATGATATGATAGGTAGAGTAATGTAAGGGGGTTGGGGTTAGGGTTGTGTTTATTTAAATAAGTTAAAAAATCAATGATAAAATAGTCTTTTTAGGTGAGATAGAGACCAAACGCGTAACAAAAACAAACAATAGGGACCTTCCAAGTTAAAAAAATAAGTTAGGGACCAAACATTTAAATTACCCTAAACCATAGGGACCATTCGTGTAATTTTTGAATAAAAAAGTCCTGACTTTTTCACCTTTTGAATAAAAAATTCCTGATTTTTTCACCTTTTATGTATTATTTATTTATATGTATTTTTGCATATTTATGTATTCTTTTAGTTTTCTTATATAGATTTTTATGTATTTTTATGTATATTAAGTGTTTAATTGTATTATTTTTACGTGTTCATATATTTTTTACGTAAAAATAATACACTTTAACATTTAATGTACATAAAAATACATAAACATCTATATAAGAAAACTAAAACAATACATAAATACGCAAAATTATATATAAATACATAATACATAAAAGCAAACTATATATATATATATATATATATATATATATATATATATATATATATATATATATATATATATATATATATATATATATATAGTACTTAAAAATACATATAAATACGTAAAACAATACGTTTATACATTTAAAATACATAAATATATAAAAACATCTATATAAAATTTTAAAAAATATATATAAATACATAATACATAATACATAAAAGATATGTAAAATACTTAAAATAGATATAAATAAGTAAAAATACGTTTATACACTTAAAATACATAAACATCTATATAAAAAGCTTTAAAAAATACATAAATATATAAAATATATAAAAATACATATAAATACATAATATATAAAAAATAACACATAAAAATACATAAAAAATATGTAAAATGGTTAAAATTACATATAAATAAGTAAAAAAAAAAGTTTATACATTTAAAAAACATAAAAATACATAAATATATACTTATAAAAATATAAAAAATACAAAAATACGTAAAAATAGATATAAATATGTAAAAAATATGTTTATACATTCTATAAAAATTTTGACGAAATCTGCAAAAAAGTCCATTTATTTTCGAAAAATTAACAATTTGGTCCCATGAACTGCTGAACATGTCAAAAAGGACGAAAGTGAATAAATTAGTCGGTTTCTTGGGTTTTTCTATTCAAAATATCAGAAAGTCAGAACTTTTTTATTCAAAAAATAAAATTTAGGACTTTATTAAAAAAATTGCCTAAAATATCGGGACTTTTCTGGATATATCCCCATAAAAAACACAAAAAATATGTAAAAATAGTTTAAAAATTACATATAAATACGTAAAACAACACGTCTATACATTTAAAATACATAAATATACAAAAACATCTATATAAAACACTTAAAAGCATACATAAATACGTAATACATAAAAAATATGTAAAATACTAAAAAAATAGATGTAAATACGTAAAAAATACGTTTATACATTTAAAATACATAAACATCTATATAAAAAGCTGAAAAAAAAATACATAATACATATAAATACATAATACATAAAAAATTACACATAAAAATACATAGAAAAAATATGTAAAATTTATTAAAATACATATAAATAAGTAACAAAAAAAATACGTTTATACATTTAAAGTTCAAAAAAATACGTAAATATATACATATAAAAACATAATAAATACACAAATACCTAAAATTCGATATAGATATGTAAAAAAATATATCTATACATTATATAAAAATTTTTGACGAAATCTGTAAAAAAGACCCGTTATTTTTAAAAAATTAACAATTTAGTTCCATGACCTGCTGAACAGGTCAAAAAGGGCTAAAATGAATAAAATAACCGGTTTCTTGGGCTTTTCTTTTTAAAAGGTGAAAAAATCAAGACTTTATTACTCAAAAAATAAATTTTATGATTTTATTAAAAATTTATCCAAAATATCACTTTTTTGAAGATATCCCAAATAAATTTTAATTGTGTATTGTTTGAGGGTTGTTGAAATATAAATTATATGTTTGATTATTTATATTTATATATGAAATTTTAATTTGAAAGAGTATTGTTGATAATGATTGGATGACAAAGTGGTTATATGTATTATAGGTGAAAGTAACTAACAATATTTTAGGTCAGATAGATTATTAAAAAAAATAGAAAATGAATGAAACAACAATTAATTATTTACATTTGATATAATATTTAGTGTGTATTAAAACGATCCTAACTAGAGGGGAATCATTTGCGCCGTTGGCGCTATGTCTACTATCTTGTAGTAGAACATGTCTAGCATAAGCAATGAGTAAATGTCTCAAAGAACTTCTTCCATTATCAGCCAAAGCAGGATGACCAATAATGTTAAAAGGGAAATCTTTGGAGGGAAATCCTGCATATGAAAACGTACATATGAATTAGGAATTAGGGGTGCCAATAAAAATAATGTTTATTATAATCTAAGAAGTCAAGTTAATTTCAACAAATCCCTTTCATGAATCACATACAACAGAGCATACTAAACACACAACAGAAAATCAGATTCACCAAAATCCAAATGAAACTGTGCATGTTTCCTTTTCTTGTTTAAGAAGTTTTTGGAATTTGTTGTAGCTAACCGTTGTCCAAAATCAACATACTTTCTAATTTTAACAAAGTAATTTAACTTTCATCCATTATAGCAACCTACATTACTCATTGATAAAAAGAACAAAAAGTAGATTGTTATTTTTCTGAAATTTATTTAAATTGATACCTGTGTAGAACCGGTTTCATGATTTTCTATAGATGCCTCAGTTGTTAAAACGGAACTGCAACCATCTTCATTGGTAAGCTGAAATGAAATACAATGACCCTAAATCAGAAAGATAATCAGATCCTAAATTACCTTGTTGTATCAACTGGAAAACTTAAAGTTTGTCGGGTAAAAATATTAAAAATGTTGTTTCGGTTGATAGCATTTTCACCATTTTATCAGTTTGTAAACTGAATTATATAGATGTAAAAACCAGTTTTCCGAAATGTCTTTTTTCTTAAAAAAATAAAGTTAAAATACAGAAAAAACATTGCAAGTTGAAGTAGTCCGGACATAGAAATTAGAACTAACCATTGTTCTTCTACTTATGCTGCATCGTCCCTTCGAAACATTAAAATCTAGTGAATGCCTCACTAAAATTTCTTGTGTCAAATAACAGAGCACATAAAAAATCACATACAATTTGATTTACTTCTTCCTCGTGGCCTGTATTTTTATTCAAAAGGAAACAAAAAAAATCAGATAGCATACAAACAGGTCACTAGATTCATAGCTCACCATATATTAGAACCGCGCCTATTGTTCAATTTCATCATGAATCCATCTTGCTTATATTTTGAAGGATTCTTTTAGTTCTCTTTAATATATGTTGCATAAGCCTTCAACTTGGAAGTCTGGAACATCCATATCAGTAATCAGAGTAGAATCTAAAACCTGTCACAAATCTAACACAAATAAAACAGAAAAGAGAGAGAAAGGGTTTTATAGAAAGAGACCTTATGGCACACCTATTTTCTTGTGGGGTTCTTCTTTTGAAATCACATTCAGGTACAACAGCTGCAAATAATTTCAAAATGGGTAAATCAACACCATCAAAAATTCAATAGTCTGTTCTTTGCAACTTATATGTTTTCCATTTGAATATCTTTAATAGGAAAAATGGTTTAGCTTAGGAGTGACCCTCGCCTTTTTCCAAATACCTAGTCATAAAAATATATTACATAAAATTATATTGGCCTTCAAACAGATAAAAAAAACGGAAGAGGTCGAGGGATAGAGCAGAGAAAGGATTCTCTACTTTGTCAATCATTTTATAAAAAAGCAACATAATACGAACAAAATTTCCAGGAAGATCATCTACCTTTCCCATTCTGGTACCTTCATAAAGATCACTAAAAAATACAATAATAAATATATCAACCTTAAATCTTATGTTTTATATGTGTAGATATATTAGGTTTATAGACACATATAACATACCTAGCCACCATAATCCCTACTCCATCTCTTTGAAAGAGCTCCTCCAATAGCACTCCAGATATACTCCCATCTAGCAAATCAACTGTCTGGACACCTCCCTAATATAAATTAAAAAAAACACAATTAGTAATGTTCATTAAGTTAATTTATACAAAATTAATAATTATTTTAATAACTGACTCTACAAACAAAGGTTGCAGCTGCCAACTCTGATAAATAACCATTTGATCTTGGAAAAAGATAATCTATTAGTCTGTAAACTGCAAAATTGCGCCAAAATATAATAGATTATTTTGTAACTTGCCCTTATATTAAACTTCAGAAAATAATAAATAACTGATTGGAGAGTTATTATTACCATTATAATAAAAAAAATGATGGGGCAATAACAACTATTATTTTATTTTTTCAAATCAAACCATAAAAGTTTCTAACATTTTCTAATTTTAACCATTTTAACATATTATATTACATCTGACTCGCGTTGTTTTTTCTTACAAATCAACAATATTTTATTTTTTCAAATCAAACCATAAAAGTTTCTAACATTTTCCAATTTTAACCATTTTAACATATTATATTAGATTTGACTCGCATTGTTTTTTCTTACAAATCAACAATATTTTATTTTTTCAAATCAAACCATGGAAGTTTCCAATTTAACCATTCTGACCTAGTATAATAGATTTGACGGTAATTTTCCTAATCAAACATAGTGACCAGTTAAATCTCGTCAAAATGGTTATATTGTAAAAATATCCAACAATTTTATGGTTTGACTGGAAAAAAATAAGCATATGTGGCCAAAGTAAACTACAGAGATATAATAATGTTCTTTTTTGTAACTTACTCTATGTTTAATTTCAAACAAAAATAAAGACACCACTAAAACGTTATTGGTACCATTATAATTTATTAAATAGAAAATTACAAAAAAAACCACACACACAGAGAGATTATATTTTGTGCAATTTTGCCTTTTTGCTACTAATAATATATATTTTTTCCGAGCAAACAATAAAAGCTTTGGACATTTTCCAAAATATAAGCATTTTAATAATAGGTTTCATTGATGTTTTCCAAATAATTCATACTGATTTGGTCAAAATAGTTAAACTGGAAAAATGTTTGAATTTTTTTTGGTTTGATTGGGAAAAGAAAAAGTATAAGTGGTTAACTCACAAAAATTATGCAATTATAATGGTTTTTCTGCAATTGACCCTATGTTAAGTTTCAAACAATGATAAAGAAACAATTGAAGGGCGTAATTGGTACCATGCGATGAAGAAGATCCTGCTTTTTGGGACATTTTCTGCTATCATGAAATCAAAATCAAAGACAGCATATCGACATTCATCAGCAGGGAGACATGCTGCAAAATCACCATACGTTTCTGCTGGTTCTCCAAGCTTTTCAACCATCACCTGCTTTTGTTTCTCCTCGATCTTATAAATGATGAAACAGAAGGTCCTTTTTGCCTTCAAGTCCATAAACTTTAGGTTGCAGTCATCATGCACAGCCATCCCTGATGCTGCATTGGCCTATCAATCCACCATCATAACATTAACACCTCACTGTAAAAACCAAATTAAAAAAAATGGAAAATTAAGTCATTTGTGTAAGCAACAGAAGTGACAAAAGGAAATCTCAGATATGTTTCTTAATTAAAAGGAAAAGTCAATGATAGTATTTTTTTCATTAGGATGCCATAATGCCATGTTAAGTTACCTGAACACCGAGTTTGTCTGGTTCAAGAACACATCAACAGATCTGTGTGCGGATCCAAGAAAATCAGGTCTAGAAACAAAAATCGACTAAAAAAAAGGAGAGCCAATGAAATGAGGAGTGTAGGTTTTGTTTTATTTTATGTATGTAACTAAAGTATAGACAGTAAGTAATAATGTACCTTCGGTGATTCTGATAAAAGTTGTCAAGCTGATAATAGACATATATAGGTCGCTTCATATGCTTTGGTACCTAAATCATACACAAAAAGGAGGATTCAAATCAAATTATGACTCACAAGTCACAGATTCTAAAGCTCATTTGCATAATTATTGTGTCTTACAGAGAGGGTTCTATTACAGGTTTTGTCTGCAGCGGACTGTATCACTTCTTGAGCTCGTTGGTGCGCACTCAGCATCATAGCGATCAACAATTTCCTGTCCTGTGTAACAAATGGAGTGTAAATGACTTTTTTGCCCTTTTATCTTTTAATTTATGTTTTTTAATGATTGCATTTTGATGATGTTACATACCACGATACCACTAAGACCACCACTAATGATCCCAATTCCTACATCCATCAAATTTGTGTGATCAATCAAAGAATCTTTAAGTCTTAAATGCATAGAATGCCTCAAATACTCATAAGTACTAAAAAAACATAACATTTCCAATAGCTTCTCGCATCAAAGTCGTCACACCTCCTCTAAAAAGCCCATTGACCTGAAAAACAACAATCACACATTATTACTTCAGTATTCCCAAAATCTCTCATTTGTAAAAAAGACGAAAACGCCCTCCTCAAGCATTCTTACCCCTTCGGGTTTTATAGTTTGAATCGCACAATTAAGTGGACCACTGTATTTGCGTGAGGTTGGAACCAGAGAATCAGTACCTTGATTTTGCATCCTACATTGGAGACATTGTGTCAAAAGAATATAGAAAGAAAGATGATAGAGAATGAGTTTAAAAGCTTCTGAATTTTTTACCTGGACATAATATGAAGCTGATAATGGATCCAGCAAAAGCAGCTGAAGGGATAATTATATGGGGCTCAGGCTCTCTGTTATGATGTCCTCCCTTAAATAAGTAAAAAGTTTTAAGTTAAATATAAAGATGATAATTTCGATTTTTGAGCAGATGTGGGTATTACGGGGCCATTCACCTCAGCACTCGAAATCAACCGGTGTGGTGGAGTCGGTGTTTTCTGCTTCCCCTTTGTTCTTGCGGCAGGTAAAGTCATTGATTTGATTTTCTGGAGATAAGAGAGAGAGAAGAAGGATTCAGGGCGTCGAAGCACCAGCTATAGAACATAGAAAGAATGAAAGAGGATAAAAAAATAACCTGAAATTGTGGTTTTATACACAAAACTAATGAGAAACACGAGACGATCGAAGCAGGAGTCAACTCGCCAGACCATCGTCTCCAACAGAAAGTAATCTACAAAAAGGGTTCGTAAAACGGAGTGGTGGAGAAAGCCATGGGCGGGTCCAAGAGCGGTGAAAGGAAAGGAACTGGAAGCTGGTTTGGAAGGAGGAGAACAGGAAAAGGGAAGTAAAGAAGAAAGAAAGAACAATTAAGAAAACTGCAAACGAAGACTACTCCTACGCTGCCTTTTTTCACGAATCTGAGGATGATTTTTTCTGAAGATGGAGAATGTTCATCCCCTCATGTCCCACTGATGGCATTGGGAAGATTTAGGGCATGAAATGCTTAAACACATGGACAACTTCAATTAGGGTTCACGAATTAGGGAGAGGATAATAGAGATACAGGAGCTGCTGATAAGCTTCACTTGAAACCAAGCATGGCTGAGCGGGTGAAGCAAGTCGGTCGATGTATGACTGGGAAGCGGGAGGTCGAAATGAAGAAAACAAAGACGGATAAATAAATTAAAAGGAACGTTGAAGAAGGTCGGAGAAGGGGTTTCTTGCATCTGATTGGTGAGCCATGGCGGTGGAAACGTAAAGGTGAGGCAAGGCCGTGGAAGATAAGTGTAAAATTTAAAAATTATTATGGCAGGTGCTTAAATTTTGAATCCAAGAAGTCATGTGGCCAATCTCTAAAGTCCGAAACTTTCCTGTTCACCATCCTTTAAGGATTAATAGTATATATAATAGTATTTTATGATAAAAAATACAAAGCAAGTACCATAGCTTTTTTTGCATTTTTTACAACTTTGATCTTTTTGTGAATACATATGTTAGTGTATTAATGTATACTAAAATGTATATTATTTATCATATAAAAACTTAATTTTTTTGTAGTTTACTTTTTTTTTTTTTTTTTTTTTTTTTTTTTGAGATATAAACGTAGGCATACTTTTTTCTACCTCATACTAATTAAATAATTTCAGTTAAGGATGAGCAAAAGAACCGAACCGGCCGGAACCGGTCCGAGCCGGACCCGATCCGGGAATCGGCTTCGGCCAAAATCAAGAACTGAATCGGCCCGACGGTTCTATCGGTTCTTGTCGTGTTTTCAAATGTTGGAATCGGTCCTCGAAAAATAGTATCATACGGTTTCGGTTTTTGCCGGTTCTACCGGTTCCGGTTGTATCGGTTCCGGCTCCTACCGATTTCCGGTTCAAAAATTCCACAAAAATAACGTCCCTGGTCCCGGCTCGACCGGTTCCATCGGGTTTCGGTTCCAGTACCTGTTCCGGCCGGTTCCCCGGTCCATATGCTTATCCCTAATTTCAATGTATTACTTTTCGGATAGATGTTATTTATTTGTATAAAAAGTTAAAATAAAATAATTAAAAGTTTTAGAATTTAAAGAATGAATAAACTATTTGAAAACTACATAACACAAACTACACATTGTTTATAAATTAACACTCAAATGAAAATATTTCTTGTTGATACATTGTGCGAATTCCTTACTAGATAAAACTTAGTGGTAAATTATTATACTAACAGCTTGAGCAATAGATGACATCTAAAAAAAAAATTATTTACCATCAACCATGTTGCACGTTTGAGTAATTCCATAGAAAATATCTATCATAAGTAACTCCGTAGAACCTATCTATCGTAAAGAACTATCTGGCAAAAAATAATTTGTCAAAAGGCTAAAAGGAACTATCACAAACCTAAAATAAACAAATCGCCGTATGAAAACTGTAAGTAACTCCCTAGAAACTAATCGTCGTAAGTAACAACCAGAACAATAGATGACACCGGATATGGAATTATTCTGCCTCCGCTTTTATATACCTAGCTAGAAATTATTCTCAAAAAGGAAGTATCTTACACAAAACAATCCGCCAAAAGACTGAAATGAACTACCTCAAACGAGAACACTAATCGCCACATGAAAACTAATTGGCGCCGTCGCATCGCGCGGGTTCCCTACTAGTGTGTGTGTGTGTGTGTGTGTATATAACATCCGGAATCCCAGGTATATTATTTAAATATTAATTTTTGGATTATGTGAAGGAACTCGGCGAGTCTACGCATGTGAAGGAACTCGGCGAGTTGATGCGTAGACTCGCCGAGTAGGGTCGTGGTTGATCATCCGGGTTCACATTGGACTCGACGAGTCCACGTTGTTTAATAAAACCCTAATCCTCTGGGGTTGGAGCCTATTTAAGGGCACTCTTAGCCTTCCATTGCGGCTACCAGTCCCTTGAGACCACCCTTAGTGATCTATATCGTTTGAGAGGAAGGAGAAGCCATAATTGATCTTTCTATCCTTAGTTTGGCAAAAAGAAGGTGATGAAGAGCAAGAGGAGGCTGAAGGAGGTGTGTTTCAAGTGGTTTCAAAGTTCAAAGACTTCAACTTGAGGTATTCATTCGGACCTTCTTCAGTTTTGGTATTGAACTTAGAGATTAGGGTTTTCTAACCTCTTGTGAGGATGTTTATGTGGAGCAATTGGTCCCTTATCGAGTCTATGCTTTGGATCTGAACTCAAAGAGGTCCAGAGACTTCAATCCATTAAGCTTTATGAGTCCTTGTGGGGTGATTGGACTTAGGTTGCCATTTTTGGGTCGAAATCACCATTTGATGCCATTATGTATATTTATGAGCATCAAGATTCGAGCTTTACGTGATTATATTGCTTGGGAAGGTAAGATCTATGGATTTGAGGAACAGATCTGACCTCAGGATGTCAACCTGTGCATGGCATGTACTCGCCGAGTTGTTCTTGGGACTCGGCGAGTTGAGTCAGGGTAGCCCCGTGATTCTTGCCTGGGGACTCGTCGAGTAAAGGGAGGGACTCGACGTGTTAAATGGAATAAGGAGTTAAGTGGACACAGGTGGACTCGCCGAGTTGCCCAAGTGCACTCGCCGAGTCGGGTCAAAGTTTGATCGTTGACTTTGGTTGACTTTTAGTGTTTGGTTAGCAGTAAGGCCTTTTGAGCCAGAAAATGGGTAAAATGGTCTTTTACCCTTCTTAGGAAAGGTGGGAGTATAGTTATATTTATGGGAGTATTTGTTTTATGTGTTTAGGCGGAGGCTTGATCGTATTTCTACCGAGTCAGTGATTTACCGAGATATCAGAGGTGAGTTTTCTCACTATACTGTACCTGGAAGGGTACCTATGTGTGATCGGAAGGTCGGATATGCTATATGATATATGCATTGTGTGTCAATAGTTACCCGTTTGGTATGTGCTATGTATGCTATGCTTGATATGGGTCGGAAGGCATTATGTTATGGGCCGGAAGGCATTATATTATGGGCCGGAAGGCATTGTGATGTGGACCGGAAGGTCGACGCGGGTAGGACCGGAAGGTTTACCGGGTTTGGACGGAAGTCCCCTGAGACACATGGACCGGAAAGTCATGGCCTGGAAGGGTGTACGTGTGTAGGTGGTATTTTGGGGAACTCACTAAGCATTTATGCTTACAGTTGTTGTGTTATGTGTTTCAGGTAGGAGCGAGGACCGTGGGAAGGCGCCGACATGATCTGTACACACTGACGGAAGATTTATTTTATGATCTTAGGATGTATTTTATTATGATGACATTTGCTAAACATGAGACTTAAGAATATTATATGATGGTTTATATTGTTTGAGAAATGAAAAAAATTCTTTTGAAAATTCACGTTGTTACAAGTTGGTATCAGAGCCTTGGTTTGAGGGATTCGGGTGCACCTTCGGGCGTAACTGAACTCAAACCAAGGATTTGAGAAAAAATTTCCAATAATAAAAGCATTAAATTTTACAAGTGGTTTTAAGATAATCCAAGAAGGAGCAGTGTGTACAGTTAGCCGGCGCTCGAACGGTAAAATCCCCAAGATACCCTTACAATATGTGTTATGAGATATGCTATGATATGTTATGCATGCTAGAGTAGACTAGGTATTCATATTGGGACTAGAGTAACCTGATTTGTGATGCCTTAGTCTAGGAGAATCCTACTGCTATGCGATGCCTTGAGAGCGAGTAGGTAGCCAATGCATAGCGAGAATAGAGTACTTGCATTTCGGGATCCAATGAGGAGGACTTGGGGTGAATGTTGATGTGGTGTAACCAATAGTATAGGGCCCGTACTACTGAAGACACCAGATCAGTGGGCAGCCCAAGTAAGAATCCTTTGGGTATTGGAGGCCGAGTAGGGTTGCGTTATCGAGTACGAGTATGCTCGATCGAGTCTCTGATATTTTTATGTTGTATTTCAGAGGCATCATGGTTGGGACACGCCACAGACCTGGGACGAGCGGTGTGAGTGATGAGGAGCTTCATTAGACGATCCACGATGAGGTGGATGCGGCAATCAGGGCCGAGATTCCGGAGATGTTTGGGTCTATTAAGACCACACTGTTGGAGACTTTTGAGGAGCGGTACGCCACGGTGACTGAGGCCGCAGCTGCTGCAGCTACAGCAGTTGTGGCTGCTGCCAGACCTCAGGGAGGTGACTCGTTGTTGTTCCGGGAGTTCAGCAACACGAAGCCACCCAAGTTTGATGGAACGCATGATCCAATCACTGCAATGAGATGGATTACTGACATTGAGGGATGCTTCTATACGTGTTCATGTCCGGAGCATTTGAGGGTACGGTTCGCTTTGAACCAACTTCGCCTAGGAGCGAAGGATTGATGGAAGTTCATGACAACGAACTTCACTCTTGCAGAGATTTCAGTAGTGACCTGGGAGAGGTTCACCACCATGTTCAGAGGCGAGTATGTTCCCTCGGTGGAGAGGGAACGGCTGATTCAGGAGTTCTGGACCCTCAAGCAGGGTAATGATTCTATTACTGTGGTCACCCAGAAGTTTCATGAGAGGGCGATGTTTTGCCCTGAGCAGGCACGGATGAGCCGGTATTTGGGTATTCTGAGGAGGGACATTCGGGAGTTCGTGTCGAACTCGACGTACCGGACATTTGCTAAGCTCCAGGAAAATGCCCGGAATAAGGAGATTGAGTTGTAGACTTAGGCCAGGGAGGAGGCCGAGTCTCAGAGGATGGATCGGCGGCCAGCTCAGTCTCAGTCGGCAGCCAAGCGGATTAAGTCTGCCGATTCGAGGACGGGAGGTCAGAAGGGCCACACTTGAGGGAAGTGCGGCAAGGGACATGAGGGGGCATGTCGATCGGGCGCTTGATACAAATGTAGCAAGGAGGGGCATATCGCCCAGGATTGCCCCAAGGGATTTATGGTTACTTCCATTTCAACCAGACCGGCCATCGGAAGGCCAAGTGTCCTCAGCTACACCAAGGATCAACACAGGGATCTTCGCCTGCTGCTAGGGTTACCGAGATTCGACCGACGAAGACCGAGGCTCCGAAGGCTCGAGGAAGAGCTTTTCAGTTGACTGCGGAGGAGGTCCGCGCAGCGCCCGATGTCGTGGCTGGTATGTATTCTTTCGTGTATTTACTTTCATGTTGAGATATTGTGCTTATATTATGATATGCGTAGGTACTTTTCTTGTGAATTCTGTACCTGCCTTGGTATTATTTGACTCGGGTGCGAGTCGGTCTTTTGTATCTT